CTAATTTGGAAACTAATGACATGTTAAAATCAAAATGTCACAATTTTGCACTTGCGTCATTGTTTTACCGGAACGGCGATATGGTAGGTATTTAATACAATTCGACATATTATTTACGCATTCATAACCGATGAAAGGAAACCAATATCTAAACCAGATAAATACCATATCACATAAAAAATAAAGGATTATGATCGGTTGCTAATATGGTTTTAATATGGGAAAACCATAAATAACCAATATAAAAAACAGATAAATACCATATCACATAAAAAAATATAGGATTATGATCGGTTTCTAATATGGTTTTAATATCGGAAAATCATAAATAACCGATGAAGGGAAACCAATATCAAAAACAAATAAATGCCATATTACATAAAAAGATATAGGATTATGATCGGTTTCTAATATGGTTTCAATATGGGGAAACCATAAATAACCGATGACGGAAAACCAATATCAAAATCAGATAAATACTATATCACATAAAAAAAAATATAGGATTATGATCGGTTTCTAATATGGTTTTAATATGGGAAATCCATAAATAACCAATAAAGGAAAACCAATATCAAAAACAGATAAATACCATATCACATAAAAAAATATAGGATTACGATCGGTTTCTAATATGGTTTTAATGTGGGAAAATATTAAATAACCGATGAAGGGAAACCAATATCAAAAACAGATAAATACCGTCCACATAAAAAAACATAGGATTATGATCGGTTTCGAATATGGTTTTAATATGAGAAAATATTAAATAACCGATGAAGGGAAACCAATATCCAAAACAAATAAATACCATGTATCATAAAAAAATATAGGATTATGATCGGTTTCTAATATGGTTTCAATATGGGAAACCCATAAATAACCAATAAAGGAAAACCAATATCAAAACCAGATAAATACCATATCACATAAAAAAAATAGGATTATGATTGTTTCTAATATGGTTTCAATATGGGAAACCCATAAATAACCAATCAAGGGAAACCAATCTCGAAACCATATAAATACCATATAGTTATTTAAATATTTTTTAATTCGATTTTGCATGGCCCATATTGGCCAAGATTACCATATCAAAACCACATAGCTCCAATCGGGTGTGCTACTAAATGTACCATATGGTACATTTCCTATTTAAAATTAAGGTGTTAGAGAAGTGGACTGGAGGGGGTCGGCACATGACAGCTGTCTATTGTAAAAATGTGTTCTATTTGAAATAAAATTCGACCTGTTTCAGTATTTTCTTATAACGCCAAATAATAGGGTGAAACTGTTTTGAGTGGCCCACTCTGTACATCGAAAATGGCTAGATTTATCGAATTAGTAGAAAACAAAAATCTACTTAGAAATGCATTTTTTTACAAGATGCGCTATATAAGAAAGATCCTCCCATCGAAAAAAATTATTGAGCGCAGCGCCATCTACATAATGATTATTTAAAATCAATTTATATCTAAAACTAAAGCTCTCTTAGTGCTCTTTGAACTGGCTTTTACAGAATTAAAATATCTCTATTACCAAAATATCCGGCCTGGGAGTTTGTATTGGTACATCCTGTATATGACAAAAGAATCTAGACAATTTTTTACTAACTTGATTGAACTTAATCGCTAAAACATTTATAAAGATATTTCTATGAATTAAAATTTATAATACATTACTTTTATACTTACGACAATAATAAATGATTGGTTTCATAATAATTAATACTAATTCTAAGAACATTACGATGAGTAAACACCAATAAATAATTTTATTAACGACTTATCTTTAAAACTGCACTATCATGCAAATATATTGTTCTGTTAGCACCCAATTACTTTTTAGGAAATACCAGTCCACCACTTTGGCCGCCATCTTCTTGAAATCCTTGGGTTTCCCTTGTACGTGGTTGATATATTTTCAACATTTATAATGAAAACTAAATTTCCTTAACATACAAGTAATTATACAACTTTAATGAACTGGGGAAAATTACTTAATGTTAGACTTTTAACTAATTCAAATTAATCATTTTTTTTCTTTTAGGCTTCCTCAACAACTCCCTTCGCGACAGTCGTACATAAAAATATCGCAATTTTATTTTTGTAAGAGACTGTACAAACACATGTAAGCTTATATATACAGTGTGTCCGTAAAGTATGGAACAAATTCATTTTTAGCTAAACAGACCATTTTAAGAAATAATCCTGAAACAGGTCTATTTTTAATTTTAATATACCGTATTTTAAAATAATAATCTAATATGCAGGGTGATTTACTTTCGAGTAATGACGTCACCGTCATTTTTTTTAAATGGAACACCCCTATTTTGTCTCAATTTTCGGATTACTCTAACTGAGCTGATTCCAAAAATGTATCACATGTTGATTCCAATTGGTACAGGGTGGGCAAAAATACAATAGTTTTGTGTGTGCTCATAAAGTAACGCGTAACATTCTTTATTAGTTAAATTAACAATATTATCAAAAGTACTTATTGTCTAGCGGACAGAATATGATGAAATACATGACTTTATAAATGTTCGAACTGCAGCCCTTGCTGTATTTGACAGTAACCCAAACGGTGTACAAATTCTTGTTGAACCTTGTTTATTGTGTCTTGAGAAATATTGTTCATTGTTGTCCGAATTATCTCTTTTAATTCTTGAATATTTGCTGGTTTCGTTTGATACACAGCATTCTTCAGATGGCCCCACATAAAATAATCCAAAGGATTGAAATCCACCTGTTCGGAAAAGGTTCATCTAGGTACCTTCTAACATCTACAGCATAATGTGGAGGTGCACCATCCTGTTGAAACCATAAACTTTCATCACAACCTCCAGGATTACGTCTGCTGGGAAACAAATTACGTAAAGTAGGTACGAGATACCCTTAAAAACTCAAGGTACGTTGCGCCGTTTAAATTACCTTCGATAAAGTAGAGTGCGATGATTCGATTTCTTACAATTCCAGCCCATTTACCTTTTGCGGGTATTGTGTATGATGTTCACGCATCCAGTGGGGGTTTTCTTTTGCCCAGTAGCACGTGAAAGTGGCCTCATCAGAAAAAATAATGTTTTGTATCAAGAGAGGGTCTCGGTGACATTTATCCATCATTTTTTCGCAAAATTGGATTCTTCTATCGGGATCATCTTCGTTTAATTCCCGCACAAGTTTGATTTTATAAGGATGCCATTATTAAAGCTTTAATAGTTTGTGTACCGTTGTTTTGCTAACACCGATATCGCGACTAACTTTACACACAGAAGTGTGCGCATCTTCTTCAAAACTAAGTAAAACATCTAATGCTGTATCAGCATTTGCAGAGGGACGACCTGATTTGCGTACATTTTCAACCGTACCAGTTTCTCGAAATTTCTTTTCAATCTTACTGACTGTTGAACGCGTTATAGGTCTTTCTGGATATTTATCATTAAACAAATTGCACACTTCCATTTGAGTTCGCGATCTGTCTCCATACCCAATCATCATAAGTATTTAAATTTTTTGTTTTACACTTAACTCCATTTCTAATTCAAATTAAATCTAAGCAATAATTAAAACATTCACGAGTACCAAAAATATTGTAGTACTAAACTGTCACTGAACATCAATAAATTACTAAACAAATAATGACATTTCACAAAAAACTAGACGACTATGTTTTTCAAAATTGATAAGAAATAATTTCTTTCATATTCTGTCTGCTAGACCACAAGTCCACCCTGTACCAATTGGAATCAACATGTGATACATTTTTGGAATCAGCTCAGCTAGAGTAATCCGAAAATTGAGACAAACTGGGGGTGTTCCATTTAAAAAAATGACGGTGACGTAGTTACTCGAAAGTAATTCACCCTGTATATTAGATTATTATTTTAAAATACGGTAAATTAAAATTAAAAATCGACGTGTTTCAGGATTATTTCTTAAAATGGTCTGTTTAGCTAAAAATGAATTTGTTCCATACTTTACGGACACACTGTACATAATATATATAATTTCAATAAAATCCATCCGGCAACCTCGCAATTATATGAACGGTGTGCTATAGAAATTTGTGACTTCCTCATACTAATTTTAAGGGTTTGTTTTGGTTCAAACAGAACCGCTGATTCCAGTTCTCAAATACAGTTGGCGAATTAATTTTTCAAGAACACGTCGCGAGGTTATAACAACCACTTAACTGATCGAGTGTTATTTTGTTACATGTAGCGATTACAGTGTTGCCAAGTTGTATTAATTTTACGCAACTACGCGTCGACTGCTTTAAAAATATTTTTATTTTAATAATCTATATCTTTTTACTAAGACGGTCAAAAAATTCAGCGATTTTTTAGAAAATTTTATAACTTCTTGATTTACATTACATTAGTTTTTAAAAAAACTATGGTACGAACCGTTTTCGAGATAATTTTAAATAAATGCATTATGTGTTAATGACAGGCTTCAAGAGTGTTAATTATTTTTTTTTAGTTACGTAAACGACATGTTCATTATCCTTATATTTCAATTTTATTGAATTCTTAAGAAAATCCGTTTTACGAGTGAACTACCTTACAGGTAAGTTTATGTGTATTTTACATTCTGTCAAAACATTATTTGATTGATTAATTTTCTCAAGGTTTACTCAATTATATGTGATTATTATTTTAAATGAACATAATCTATTGCTAATTTTATATTCTATATTTGCAAATTAGATATACAATTTTGTAATTATTTTTATTGACATTTGTTTTCTGATTTAATTTTAACTTATAATTACAATATATAATACATAAAAATAGCTTAAAAATATGGAATAGGTTTCAACTCAAAATTCTCGAGGTGCTCTGATGGCATCGTTCGAAAAAAATTTGATTAAAAAAAAATTGTGCAAGGCTTAGAAATAGCCTTAAAATATCCTAAAAAGATGGCATAGGTTCTAACTTAAAATTGCCTATAGTGTTGTAAGCAATTATTTGAAAATTATATTAAAATATGGTACCCATTATGATACTTTTGATATTTTTCATAACGAGGAAAAAAGACTCGAGAGAAATCCAACTCTCAACGAAAAAAGAATTGAAAGAAAACCAACGACTCTCAAGTAAAAAAGACTCGAAAGAAAACCACCTCTCGAAGAAAAAAAGACTCGAGAAGAAGGAAACCACCTCTCGAGGAAAAAAGACAATAAAGGAGAAAAGCAACTCTCGAGGAAAAATAACTCAAGAGAAAACCACCTCTTTGAGAAAAAAAAAAACAAGAGAAAGAAGAAACGCAACTCTCGAGGAAAAAAGACTCGAGAGAAAGCAGAAACGCAACTATCTAGAGAAAACCAAAGACTCGAGAGAAAATCATATCTTAAAGAAAAAGGGAGAAATAAAACCAAAGACTCTCGAGGAAAAAAGACTCGAAAGAAAACCCCCTTACCAGGAAAAAAGACTCGAAAGAAAACCCCCTTACCAGGAAAAAATACTCGAGAGAAATCCAACTCTTGAGGAAAAAAGATTCGGCATAAAACCACCTCTCGAGGAAAAAAGACGAAAGAAAACCACTTCTGGAGGAAAAAAAGTCAAGAGGAAAAAAGACTCTAGAGAAATCCAACTCTCGAGGGGAAAAAAAGACTCGAGAGAAATCAAACTCTCGAGGAAAAAAAGACAAGAGAAACCGAACTCTGGATGAAAAATTACTAGAAAGGAAACCACCTCTATAGAAAAAAAGACTAGACTATAAAACTAGTACTATCAAAGAGAATAAAATTTAACTCTAGAGAAAACCACCTCTAGAGAAAATAGTACTCGAAAGAAAACCACCTCTCGAGGAAAAAAGGCTCGAGAGAAAACCACTTCTCGAGGAAAATGACTCGAAAGAAAGCAGAAATGCAACTCTCGAGGAAAAAAAGACAAGAGAAACCGAACTCTGGAGGAAAAATTACTAGAGAGAAAACCACCTCTATAAGAAAAAAGATTAGGCTAAAACTAGTACTATCAAAGAGAATAAAATTTAACTCTAGAGAAAACCACCTCTAGAGAAAATAGTACTCGAAAGAAAACCACCTCTCGAGAAAAAATGACACGAAAGAAAACCACTTCTCGAGGAAAAAAGACTCGAAAGAAAACCACCTCTCGAGTAAAAAAGACTCGAACCTCTCGAGTAAAAAAGACTCGAAAGAAAGAAGAAAAGTAATAGAACATATCTGGACTTCAGGTCCAAACAATATTAAGTCCACCTTTTTTAATTTTCAAGTTATGGGTTACTCCTACATAATTTTTCCTGCTCAATCCATTGATGATAAGTATTAAATTCTATTATTTTGAGTTTTCCAGATATTTTTTTAAAACCGATATTAAGTCTAATAAAAATACAGGCAGTCAAAAGTTTCAACAGGCTCTTCTGTAAAATTTTGTAAAATGGACTTAATACTCTTTGGCTAGACCCGATATTGTTTTTGATTTTTAATAATCCAACGCATTTACACCCAAAACACAAATTTTGAAAAATATCACGAGAGATTAGGGGAGGGAGGAGGGAGTTGAGGAAAATCTTACGAAATCTCACCAGGGGGGGGGGGGGAGGGGGTCAAAAATCCTCAATAATACCTCTCGTAATTATTGGACGTCCCATAATGATTATATGTCAAGTATATTCTTTTTTTTTTTTTTAGTTTTAAAGCTTTACATTCACTTTTAGTCGTTGCCGTGTCTATTTAAACTGCGATTATCTATAAAATAGCTAATAACACAAAATTAAATTCATGGAATATCGAATAGAGAGTTGGGTTAAAATTTAAACGTCATAGTTATAAATAACCTTGTAACCTGGCGGTTAAAATTAACTAAAACGTTACAGATTAGACTCCTAAGTCGTAACAGTGATTGATATTTTTTTAACTGTTAAGTCATTAAAATAAACATCTTTTTCAAATATCTTGTACTTGTGTATGAAAAGTAAGCTAATTGATGTCTGGTTACGTTTTCATCTTTTCTTTCGGGTTTTCTTATTAATCACGATTCATTTGTAATTCAGTCGCGTATGATTTCAGTAGTGTGTTTAACTGAAGTAAATTTAAATTGTTCAGTGTGATAAATTAAAAAGCTGTCATTCCACCTGTCCTTGTAGACCACGGCCTGGAAGACACTGTATATAGTTGTATATTTATTTTATTTTTTTTTATTACCGCGTAAGTTTCAGTAAGCCCGGGCTGAATATAGAATACTATAATAATATAGTTTTGTCATTGGAAAATGCAAATATTAATGGTTTCTTTGTCGAGTTCTTCAATAATTAATAGATTTTAAATGTAATTTTTGAGTTGTTCGGATCGCAAATATAGGTAGTTTTTCTTTTGGTTAAATTACAACTAAAACCTTTACAAATTGTATCATCATGTCAGTGATGGTAAGTCCATTTAGAAGAATACATTTCAAATGTTATAGAGAAAGATCCAACAAGTACGCAGGTGATTGTAGAACAGGTTGAATAAATCAACAACTTGAAGATATTCCCCCACAGTATTGTTTTGTGAATAATTCTTTCAGCGGCATAGATGTGATCAACATTTTTCGACCAAAGTTCTACACATTATTAAAGTTAGACAGGATCGTATTATATTTTGGAATAAATTAATGTAAGTTTCTTATTTTTTCTTGAAAAAGGGATTTGAAAATGTTTATATTAATGACTTCTATACACGGTTAACCACACTTTTTAGATATTCTAAAACGTATAACAATGATATGATATGATGTGGGTAATAAAGGAATTTATAGATAATTTTAAATTTAAGTCGTATAAATTAATAATAATGGTCAAATTAGACAGGTCATACAGGGTTGCTAAAACACAACTGTAATTTCTATTTGTAATTCTGTGGCTGACTGAAATAGTTCTAAGTAAAATTTATTCAAACAGACAAACATGTTTTTAAGTCGAGTTATTGACGTATCCACTTGCTTACAATTAATTTAAATATAATTATTTTCATAAAGTCAACTATTCAGTAGTTTTTTTTTATTCAAAATCATAAACAAACTTTATTACCTTCCTATTGGATTAGATGTAGGTAACGAATCTTTCTGTTCATCTTCACTTTCTTCCGATAGTTTGAGATCATCTCTTAAATCTCTGAAATAAGAAAAACAAGTTAACGATTTGAATGTTGATTGAACAATTTGATTTCAAATGGTTTGTTGACGAACTGAGAATATTATTTTTGTATAATCCAGTAAATTGAATTTATGTAGTTGTAAAGAAAACAGAGGCGGTGTTTTATGATGCTAATTTTAAATAATGAATATACCAAGGTGTCTAATAACCAATTGTAAAAGTATTCATGATTACGTAAGTCACTTTTAGAATACGGTATAAACAAAAAATATGTGACTCGATCTCAAGGAAAATAAAACCGATAGTTTAAGATGAAGACCATGCATCATCCTGTAATTTTTAAAGCATTCTTTGAAATGAAACTAGGAGTTTTTTTGAGTTCACGCTGTAAAATATTTTTTCATCCTATACATTGCTTCAATTAATGCAAAAATGCACGATTATAATTCAAGAAATGTCAAATACATGTGAAATTTGTTGAGATTAGGGTAAATTAGTAACTTGTGATAGTTGTCATGGGTAAATATTGAAAAGATTCCCTTTTCCTAGCAATACATTTTTTTTTACAAAACTTGCATTTTGGGCTTTACGAAGGAGAGTTCTTTTCAAATATACCACAAGAAACAGCATAAATTAACATTTTTTTATATGAAGATCATTTATGTAAACTTTTAGTATGTCATGCTCTGTCATTGCAAATGCGCGGTCTTGCCAAGTGTCCAATTAAAATTAAAAGAAAAAGAAATATAAAAATCCTTATTTTTGACCTAACATTTCCTAACATTAAATAGCACTACTTCTAATAATTTATTTCCAGACACATCTGACGTTTTTTTTTATCCATTTTGATTGTTTACTATTAATATTACATCATCTATAAAGTAATAAACATGGTACTTTTCGAAGACTTTTAAACAATTACTTTGTGTTATCTGAAAATATTCTAAACTTTTTTAAAACAAGGGAATTTAGTTGTTTAACAAATGGCGCCAGCCAGCCAAATTCAAAGACTACTATCAACTAAAGAGGATAGCCGAATTAGTTCAATTTCTGCTGGGTTGGTCATGACGTCACTCGGTGGAAATTTGCAGCTGCAACTAATTTAAAACGTACATCGATACACTCTTTTTTAAATTATGACGTTTAACATTTTTTTATTTCTAAAATAAAAAATATTTCAGCTATTCAAAAGATCATTTTAACCTAGAGGGATAATTAAACACACCTGATAATAATTATAGGAGTAAATAGGTAAGTAGTAGGCAATAAATTTAAATACTATGACCATGTTATATAATAGCTATTTGTATATTTTCCACATTTTTGTCCATAGATTGATTCTGTTGCAGGTTTCCTGAAGTTTTTCTGAGGTCTGCATTAGTTCCGCCAATATTGCAGCGTCATCCGCAAATGTTGCTATTTTAACACAATGTTGTTGAGGGATATCGATGGTATATAATAAGTAAAGAACCAGTCCTAATACACTACCTTGTGGGACACCTGCTTTAATTTCTTTCATTTCGGAGTATACCTCTTCTTGCTTTACTCTTAACATTCTTCCCGTTAGATATGATGGTAGAATGTCGACGTATTGTCTAGGGATCATTTTTTCAAGTTTCTGTATCAAGCCAGCGTGCCAAACCTTGTCAAATAATGCTTGGGCTACGTCAAGAAATATAGCTGAGCATATACAGTATGGTTCAAATGAAAGGAATAAATTCATTATAATGGAAGTAGCTGGTTTTTCGAAAAAATGCTCGGACAGGTCAATTTTGTTTACTCAAAGCGCAATTTTTTAAATAGAATTCAATTTTCCCCCATTTCCCATTTTTGGGCAGTGACGTCATTGACAATTTTTTTAAATAGCAACCCCAATTTTTTTTCTTGATTTTGATAGATCTTGCAATTTTCTTACTCGGAAACATAATATTTGAAATATCTGACATAACAATTTTTTTTGAAAAAGTAATTTAAAGATCAGATACATAAATTTTATGTTATTTTGAAACACAATAAATGAATAAAAGATAATTATTTGTAATTAAATGCTTAATCTAAGAAAATAATAATAAAAATAATAATAATAAAAAGAATTTGTGAAATTGTCATTAAATTATTTTTATTATTATTATTATTATTATTATTTTTTTTTTTTTTTATTGGTGTCATCGGCGTCGACTACTACGGCCATTAGCCTCTATTATTATTATTATTATTATTTTTTTTTTAGATTAAGCACTTAATTACAAGTAATTATCTTTTATTATTTTATTGTGGTTTAAAATAACATAAAATTTATGTATCTGATCTTTAAATGACTTTTTTTCAAAAAAAATTGTTATGTCAGATATTTCAAATATTATGTTTCCGAGTAGGAAATTGCAAGATCTATCAAAATCAAGAAAAAAAAATTGGGGTTGCTATTTAAAAAAATTGTCAATGACGTCACTGCCCAAAAATGGGAAGTGGGGGAAAATTGAATTTTATTTAAAAAATTGCGCTTTAAGTAAACAAAATTGACCTGTCCGAGCATTTTTTCGAAAAACCAACTACTTCGAATGGATCCATTATAATGAATTTATTCCTTTCATTTGAACCATACTGTATATTTTTCTTCGTAAGCTTTTTCGATATATTATCCTGTGTACTTGATCTATCGTCGAGTGATTGTTTCTAAAACCAAATTGGTGCGAAGGGATCAAGTATTTTCAATTATTGATTTTAGTCGTTTTAGTAGTAGTTTTTCAAATAACTTAGATATTATTGGAAACAATGATATAGGTAGTACCAAGCCAGACAGGAATCTCACTGAGCTTAGGTAAACATGCGACAGTATTCCAGGCAGAAATAGCAGCAATACATCACTGCGCAAAAGAAATATTAAGACAGAAGGTAAATGGAAAAACCATTGTCATATACTCAGACAGTCAAGCGACGTTAAAAGCACTCAGTTCCATGCAGGTACACTCAAAGCTTGTGTGGGACTGTTTGGAAGCCCTAACAGAACTGGGTAGTCAAAAAAGACTAACCTTAACCTGGGTACCAGGCCACAGGGCACACAAGGGCAATGAAGAGGCTGATTTACTAGCCCGAGAAGGAGCCTGAAATGCTCTTATTGGCCCAGAACCCTTCTGTGGTGTAACAAAAACAACTATCAGAACATGCACAAAGCAGTGGATGTTTAAAAAATCTCAGGAATGGTGGAAAAACTCACCAGGACAGAGACAGGCCAAAAAGTTCTTAAAAGGACCATCGTCTAAACTCACCGAGCATCTACTAAGCCTTAATAGGAAAAATACTAGAATACTAGTAGGTCTATTAACAGGGCATTGTAGGCTTAACAAACATATGTTCAATATCGGTCTGACAGAAGAGGCCTTGTGCCGATTTTGTCAAGAAGAAGAGGAAACGGCAGAACACGTATTGTGCTACTGCGAAGGTCTAGTAAGACTGACATTCCTTACACTTGGAGAAGAAAAACCAAGGGCAACTAGCTATACCGGAGAACTACTTTCCAGTCTATGGAGTCTACTACAAAAGACCGAATTAGACAAGGTACTCTAAACAATGATTAAAGGATATCCACAATAGATCTGAAAAGGTCGAGGTGGGGGAGGCCACATGGCCCATAGTCCTAATTAAATCTTAATCTTAAATGATATAGGTCTGTATGACGACACTTTATTTAGAGGTTTTCCTGGCTTAAGAATTTGGATAACTTCAGCTATTTTCCACGCATCAGGTATATATTTAAGGCGATATGTTGCATTTATATCAATGTCAATTTAACCTTCTGTGGTAGTTTCTTTAATATGTATCCAGTAATAAGGTCATATCCTGGAGCTTTCTATGAGTTGATGTTTGTCTGAATTTCTTTCGTAACTTCATTGTGAGTAACTAGCTTAATTTCAAGTTGGATCGTCTCGTTAGGAGTGTTTTGATTTTCATAATGGGTGTCCCAAAAGTCACTAGCTGATTTCAAAATTCAATGATTTCGGGTACATTGATTTTTTAAAATTTTGTTTCAGATTAGAAAATAGAAGCTTGGGAAATATGTCGTAGAAAAATTCAGCGTTGAGCAAAGAATCGCTATCGTGCAGAGAAGAAAATGATTTTCTGAACAGCTTAATCATGAGCGACGAAGCGCACTTCCATCTGAATGGTTCTGTTAACAAACAGAATTGTCGGAGAACAGAAAACCCAAGAGTGATTCATAAGCGAGAACTTCATCCAATAAAGTGTACAGTTTGGTGTGGAGTTACCAGTCAAGGCATCATTGGACCTTTCTTCTTCGAAAATGAAGACGGCAATGCTTAGACCGTTACTGGAGAACGATACAGAGATATACTCCAAAATTGTGTATGGCCCGCTCTAGAAAACATGCCAGAGATGTGATTTCAGCAAGATGGCGCTACTGCCCACACAACCAGGGCAACCATAGAGCTCCTTAGAGAAATTTTTGGTCACAGAATAATTTTCAGAAATTCAGATTTCCGTACCCCGCACGTTCGCCTGATTTAACAGCCCCAGACTTTTTTCTGTGGAGATATCTGAAAGAAACAGTTTATGCAAATAAGCCCAGAACTCTTGAGCAACTGAAGGAAAACATTCGGAATGAAATAAAAATTTTAAATCGACAAATTCTAACAGCTGTTATGCAAAATGCACTAAAAAGAGCAAGAATGTGTCAAGCGAAAAATGGAAGGCATTTGAAGAATATAATTTTTAAGAACTAGGTCAAAAATATCTCCATGAATTACTCTACTTTTATGTTAAAAAATTTTTTGAGAATAAAAAGTATTTAGAAAGTTATAAGCATTTTAAATCAGCTAGTGACTTCTGGGACACCTTTCTGTTGATTGTCTCTTGCCCATTTGTTATCTGCTATTCTGATAGGAGGACGGTGTTTACACGAATTTTTCATATTTTCAGTTGCCTTCCAGAGCGAATAATCAGTTTCTTCTGTTAGCCCTACTAGGTATCTGTAGAACGATTCTTTTTGTAATCTAGGATTTATTTTCTTAGGCTTTGGGTAGTCCTATTTAATATATTTTTATCTTCTGGTGATCTTGTCATCTACCATTTCTTTCTTAGTTTTCTTTTTTCTGCTACCAGTTCCTTTATTTCGACAGTATAGTTTTTTCAAGCTGTTAATCTTTTTACTTTTGGTGTGTTCCTCCATGTAGCTTGCTGGATTTCAACTGTAAACCTTTCCAGTTCTTTATCTAGCTGATTTTTCGTTTTTAGAGTTATGATCAGTTGAATAGTATTTGTTAAGTCCTCTTAAAAACCTTCCCAATTAATTTTTCATTTGCTAGGGTTAGTTTTGCTTCTTTTTGACTAAATAACATTATCGCTTATAGTAAGGATTACTTACTGCAGAATGATCTGAATCCATATCAATGTTTTCTTCTACTTGTGTATAGTTTGGTGAAATTTTCATCAGAACAAAGAAATCCAAAAAGTCTGGAATCTTATTTGGGTCGGTGGGCCAATAGGTGGATTTTTTAAAAGATTGGTATGTACAACCAAGTTTTGATGCAGCTCGATGTAATTCTTTTCCTTTGGCTGAGGTTAATCTTGAACCCCAGATGATTGTATTTGGAGTTGTAATCTACAATGATTATAAATGTGTTACCTAGTTTTTTGATTACAGAAAAATATATTCATTTTTCTTAATTTTATTTAAATAACACCCTGTACATAAAACTTTGTTTAATTATGTCGACAATTTATTTTAAGTTGCAAACATGTACAAGGTTGATTATTTAATAATTTTTAAACATTAGTTTAATAACAATAAACTATGCAGAAGCTATAAAGGTAATCTTTAGAGGACGCACAGTGCTTTTTTCCACAGGGCATGATCCTCCCCATAGGAGGCCCCCTTGTAGATTCCCAGTAGCGGCTCCAGATTAATGAATCTCCGACCGGAGGCTCTCGATTTTCATACTTAAAAAATAGCTATTTGTGTATTAAGAGCGAAAAGTGAAACTTTGCGGCTGGAGACAGAAAGCTGGCGGCGAGAGTCGCCGTCGTAAGTAGTGTATAATGTGTTGCCAATACCAATTGAGGCCCGCGTCTGCCCCCTCCCCCTGAATTTGTGATTTTTATTTTTTCGTTATGGCTTTCGACTATAACTTGCGCGTTTTGATCCTGCCTATAAGACTTGCCTCCTCCCAGAAAATTTTTTGAAGGGCGCCCATGTTCCCATGCAACAAAGTGGAAAAAATACATATCAAAAACTTTTTTTTTAAACCGGTACATTTATGAATCCAGAGACTCTTTGTCGGGACACCAGGAATGTGATTTTAAAAACGGGACAATCCGGAGAAAACGGGACACGTGGTCACCCTAATTAAAAATAAAGTGTTTTTAAAATCCATAGACCCACCCAACCCTCTATTCGTTTAGTTCTAGGATTTTTTTAAATAATATTTAATTTTACGTGCGCAATATAAGCCAATGTTTGAAATTTGGTAAAACTCTTTTTGACTGAATTTATACGCCCAATCACTGTAAATAATTAAAGCGTTCAATTTATCCTATTTTAGGCATTTCTGTTATTTTCGAAAATAAGGTACTTATGTTCTTCTTAAAAGGAACATACGAGTATCGCAACAAAAATAAAGCGAGAATGGCATGTGCTGTGTAAAAACACGAAACAGATAAAATCGTTTTGCTGTTTCCGACTTCTAATTTCAAACGAGACAACTCAATCGATGAAGTTAATGAATTTTCGTGGACAAGGAATTGACGGGGAGAAGTTGGTGTAGAAATAATCCGATGATTTACTGGCTTAGCGAGTCTCTAGGTTCTCCAACAATCGAATAGACTTGATTTTGTTTTTATACAACTTCTTGTCTTTCTATTTAGGAGCTTCAGGTCGGCCGCAAACATTCGTTTTACGTATGCGGTTTTCGAATTCGATTACCAAATCGGAAAAATAGAACGCACAGGAAGCACTAAAATAATTTATTCCCGCATATGTTCGATTAGCTTTAAAAAGAAAATAAATATATATATATATATATATATATATATATATATATATATATATTTTTTTTTTATTTAACAAAATACTTTGTGAGCGTGAGCTAGAGAGCGTAATGCGCATTATCAATTTAAAATCTTCGTTTAAAAAAGTTATGTAAATATATTCATGCATATATTAAAATAAAGGAAATTAAAGTAAAGTAAAGAAAGTAAAGTTTAAGGTAAAATAAAGTAAATTAAAGCGAATTAAAGTAAAGTAAATTAAAGCGAATTAAAGTAAAGTAATTTAAAGTAAAGTAATTTAAAGTAAAGTAATTTAAAGTAAAGTAATTTAAAGTAAAGTAATTTAAAGTAAAGTAATTTAAAGTAATTTAAAGTAATTTAAAGTAATTTAAAGTAATTTAAAGTAATTTAAAATAATTTAAAGTAATTTAAAGTAATTTAAAGTAATTTAAAGTAATTTAAAGTAATTTAAAGTAATTTAAAGTAATTTAAAGTAATTTAAAGTAATTTAAAGTAATTTAAAGTAATTTAAAGTAATTTAAAGTCATTTAAAGTAATTTAAAGTAATTTAAAGTAATTTAAAGTAATTTAAAGTAATTTAAAGTAATTTAAAGTAATTTAAAGTAATTTAAAGTAATTTAAAGTAATTTAAAGTAATTTAAAGTAATTTAAAGTAATTTAAAGTAATTTAATTTAAATTAAAGTAATTTAAAAGTTATTTATGCAACAAGTGCAAAAACGCGACGTGAAATAAACACTTTTTGCACGAATTGCATACAATATTTTTTCTACGTTCATGCAAAAACAAAAAAATGTTTTATTTAGACGACACTAAGTGCAGAAGAATAAAAAGCGTAATTTAATAGCAAAATAATTAATAACTAATAATTAGCATCGATTAACATTGAAAAAGTACTATAACTATGTTAAGAAAAATAATTTAACCAAAACTTTAGGAACAACTGTGTTATGAACAATAATTAAGCTTAAACGTTGTTTTTGCCACTAATATTAAAAGTAAATGTACAATTTGTACAATTTTCAATATTAATATTTTGACATTTTTAATAAAATACATTTTTTACTAATTTATTTATTAAATTAGTGAAAATAATATAAAATATGCAATTGTTTTTAAAACGTAATACAATCTCACAGAAAATGAAAATGGACTAAATATTTGGCGTCGATTTGAATATTTATGTTTGTCATGATCATAAAACGCTGTAGTAAAATGACAGATGAGTGCAATAAAATTTTTATTGCACTAGTGCAATAAAGAACCAGTTTTTTCACTAAATATAGTTTAATAAAGTTTCGTTTTTTGCATGAAAAGTAATTTAAAGTGATTTAAAGTAATGTAATTAAAAGTAAAAGTAATTAAAAGTAATTAAACGTAATTAAACGTAATTAAAAGTAATTAAAAGTAATTAAAAGCAATTAAAAGTAATTAAAAGTAATTAAAAGTAATTAAAAGTAATTAACAGTAATTAAAAGTAATTAAAGTAAAAGTATTTTAAAGTAATTTAAAGTAATTTACAGTAATTTAAAGTAAATTAAAATAAATGATTTATTTTAGAGAGAATTGATCTAAGAAATTTCACTTTTATCGTGCGTTCGATAACATACTCTTTTTTACTAAATCAATTCAGTTTTATTTGATGTAAGTTCTATAGTGATAAAATAGTATTGTGCAAAAAAGTGCAGAACGTGTTGATTGGGCCTGGAATACGTTTTCTGAATGAGTAGCACAGTATTCTTAATCTACGACCAGAATGGCTAAAACGCAAATCATACATTTTTTTTTATAAACTGCTAAACTATAAAAACGTATTTTTTCTTAATTTAAATTACAAACTTGTTACAAGTTTTTATTAACTACGCTACAATTACAATTGCTACAATAGGTAATAAATCATGGACTTTAATTTTTTCATATTTTGTCCATTTTCTAGTTAGTAATTTTCAATAATCATGAAGGAAGATAAATATCAAGATTTGAAAGCAAGTAACTTGATTAAAGATATTAATTATCTAATTTTTTTAAATAATATAAAATCATTATTATTGTGTATTCATTTTACTATTTGATTATTTTGTGTAAGCAGAACTAAATAATACTAATAACTTTGGCAACACGGCATACATCGTTCTCTCCATCGTATTTCACGTGTATATACACGTGTATACACGGCTTTTGGTATACCTTTCTTTTGATTTCATTTGTTTAATACTATGCTTATAGCCATTAATACTCAATTACTAATATATTATGGTTAATTTTTGACAAAACTAAACTTAGCCACGCTACATAATTACATTAGTTACAATGACTTAAAAATTGAAATAAATTATCATATATAATACAACGAGTGCATTAATTTATGTGATTGTCCATAAAATCGATATCAAAAGCTGTATACAATAGATAATATCACGAATTAATAAAATATGACAGCTAGATAATTTACAGTTACAGTAAAAAGGCAATGATAAAACATGACAAGATTTTACAGCATTAATGTACCAGGCATAATTACCAATTATTGGTCAAGTACGGTGTACAGATATGGATGATCAAACAATTAAAATTATATTATGAGTGATATCAATTTAACTAACAATCAACCAGAGTCAATTTTAAGAGGTTATAATCAACAAAGTTAAATGTACTTACGTCGATTGTCGAGGTCCAAGTTGTCGATCACGTTCTGAAACAAAAAATGTAACGTAAAGATTTTTTGAAATATTTTAAAGATTGATTTTAAAAACTAATGCCATCAATGTATGTTGGATGTTGATCCAAAGAAAATTATTCATTCGTACATTTTTTTGTTACTTCAATAATAATTGGGATATGGCGCTTCAGGGTACAATATCCGGAACCTTAAGAAATCGCTAAGAAATCAGACATATTCTTGAATTCATCAATAATATTAAGGGGTAAGCCTCGAGATTCAATACGAATGGGATTTGAATCACACCTTAATTCAGATAGATAGATAAATTTCATAAAAATACAATATTTTAAAATCACAAAATTAACAAAAATGTAAATTTAATTTTGATATTTTTAATCTCTATTTTTTGATACGCTCTAGCTAGTCGCGTCTCTGTCGGTGCACTATACTCATGGAGAGCAAGAGGTTTCCGTAAATGCATGTAGTTAAAAAGAGAGGCCAACAGATCCATGAAACAATGTGACAAGACGTGACGTCACAAAGTAGGGCGTGGCATAAGAAGCTTTTCAAATTCTAAATACATTGTAAATCCCTATAAGACAATTTTAATTTTGTTTATTTAAAAATTGTGTTTAAATAAAAACTGCGACTTTAATAAATCGGAAGTATGTGTGTCAATTCAACGATTGTTACCGAAAAACGTCTCCAAGGTAAAGCATTTACTAGTGTTTTAAGCATAAAAGTATTTTTGAGGTTATGTTGTTTCTTTACTTGCAATAATTTAGTTTTAAGACTGTAATGTATATTGTTTTTTGTTCCAGTGTCTAAGACTATTTCAGCTATTCTAATAACAGCTGGTATAAAGTAAATATTTTTAAAAAACAATTATCTATTTATTAAAAACCCGAAAACAAAAACATTATTATAATGCTATTGTTATTAATTAAACAAAGAATCTCAAAAAGAAAATAAATTTGACTAAAAACATGAAATATTCAATCAGTTTGAGTTAAGTATAATTTATAACCATCGTAACGTAACTTAACGCCGTAAAAACTTAACGTAAGACATAAAAATTAAAGTCTATTTATAAATGTCCGTAACCTAAGAGATGAGCATGCGTGTTGTATTTCAGAGATTACTGAAATTACTGACTACTTTATGAAATAAACAAGTGTAAACTATTTACCAACCTCCAAATAAAACACATAAATTATGATTTTGCTATAGGAATAGAAAGAATATATTAACTACTTTAAAAGCAATACTATATAAAAAAAAATAATAAAACAGAATAGTTTACCGAAGATGTTGATTGTTTTTAAGCAATAATGAGAATTTAATTTTTCCTAGCAAACTAGTTTTGTGTCTTGTTTCAGTTCATAAATATTTTATTCCCAATAACATAAACACAAAACATTCATGATAATGTATGTCCATAAAAAAGGAAAATGATAGTTTACAAATGGTATTTGTCCATCCATTTATAAAAAAAATAAAAAGAAGAATTGACAGTTATCACATGCTGAACTCAGAATTATGTCATTGGCTGACCGTAAGGTCTTAAGTTGTTAAGTTAAAAGTTGGCGAACTTTCTATGGTAAGTTAAGTTCTTAAGTTACGTTACGAACATTTATAAATAAGTATACGTAAATTCAATATTTCAACTCCTTACGTTAAGTTCTTAAGTTAGGTTACGGCTGTTATAAATAAAGCTTTAGTGTTCAAAAGAATACACAATTTGATCCTTTTTTCTAAAGAATGCATTAAACGGTTGAGTATCAGCTATGAGGTCATTAAAGTGATGTTCAATTCTGTCTTGACGTGTAGCTAGACTTTTTCCTTAACATACAACCAAACTGTGTAGTCCAAAGGATTTAAATGGATCAGAGCTTATACACCTCTACCAATCCATCGATTCAGATAATGATTACTCAACCAATTACGACACCCCCATCATGTATAAAAAGATCTTCGTTCTTTGCGTTAATTCTTCTAATATCTCGAATAAAAGATTTTCTAACAAATCGAGGTACCTACATATTACTATTCGATTTCCAGGTAGAATGTGATAGAATTAATGTTACCTAAATTTGCTGCCCAAACGTTAACTTTAAACGAGTGTTGGTAATGTGATGCCCTTTTAACGTGTGGATTCTCATCACACCAGTAAGGTGTATTATGAGAGTTAAGCATTCCTTATCGCGTAAAGGTTGCCTCGTCAGTGATTAAAAAATTTGGATTGAGTGCTCTCCTCTTGTAACGTTTCATAAAAATCCACTCTATCCGGTAGTTCGTTTGTAAGAGTTCTTGTCTGTAGTGATAAGGATGTAGCTGCTGCTCCTTAAGTATCTTCCAAGTACTTGTTTGTCGTAGTACATTTCTTACGCTAATTGTTGGATCTTCGTCAATTAAATTTAAAATTATATTCTCTTTCTGAACGGTTCCTGTTGTTATAGGCCTACCAGCATTATATTTTTTTGACCTCGCATTCCCAGTTTCTCGACAACGTCGTTTCCACGGCTCTGATCGTTTTATGTGATGTTTCTTCTGGGAAACTTTTTTGCATAACACTCGCTTAAGGTTAATTACATAAAAATAAAAAATTAATAAAATCATAGCACGTGAATTTAACTGCACGTTCAATGCTTAACAAACTAATCTAATAAGTCATGTCAAGTGAGTTATCTAATTAAATATGTGTATTGTAAATTTCAACAAAAAAGCAGTTTTAAACTAAATCCTTGCAGATGACACTTCCTGATGGTCGCGCCTACCACTTCACAAAATTTCAGCCGGATGTTCGATCGTACCACCTTGCGACCGCTAGCTCTCAGTCTAGAGGGGTTTGCGCGAGGTTGACGTTATAAAAAAGTTTTCGAATCGAACCTTCTTTATTCGAGGTTCGGTTCGACATAAAAATTACCGGTTCGATTCGCGTACATTCCTAGCTTGATAAACTTGAGAACTATGAACTGCTATTATAATTCAGTCGTCATTTATATTTGTCTATTTATTTGATTTTAATAATGTTTATTATTTTGTTGCGGAGGGGCATGAGGATAATAAAAACACAAAACGATTGTTACCCCTGAAATAAAATAAGCATATAGAGACTTCATAATTTTTGTAGATACAGTTCCGCGCAGTTTTATAGGCGACCAGACGACTAATAAGATATACATACTCGAATGGTACACCGTGTCGGAGTCAAGTTGTCGCTAATCGTTTAAAAAAAAACAGGAAGTCGCGAGCAGCCGCTTAGTGCACACACGCTATTAGATATACTTCTGTTAAAAATTAAGCTAACTTACATGCAGTGAAGTCCTAAAGTAAAGGATATTTTTAATTTTAAATCTAAATTTTTGATGTAACAACTTTACCCCCCAGACCACCCTCCCTGAAGGCTTAACTACCCCCCTCAAATTCTTTAATGAAAAGTGGGAACAAGTTATACCGCATTTTAAGTTTTAATGTTATGTTCAACAAAGGGGTAAATTCCTTGGAAATCCTCAAACAAATACCAATATTACCACTACGAAATAATGAAAATTATTTTATAATTCCCAATGAGAAAGAAAACAAATTTAATGAAAAAATTAAAATAATTTTTTAAGATTCAACATTACTGAAAATAAACTTTCACCACCCTATCAGAATCATGTTTGATAACTACTGCACCAGTAATAACACGTTAAAACGATGGAAGTTAGCATTATAAAAGAAGCAGCACTTATCGCAGAGGCCCACCTGTTTGAAGCAATTCAAGTGCCACCTGCGTGCCAGGTGCCAAATGATTCGTGCAATACCCAATGAGAGAAAGTAAAGTAATATTATACACTCCCGGTGTTATAGACTGACAAAGCTGCAGGCTGTAGTATAAGAGTAATCGCGTAAAAGCAGTAGAAAAGAACCCGCCTGCGCCAGCGTAGTTCTTGCAACCGCTTTAACCTGGAATGGAGACAAGTCTAGCATTTTTTCATCGTTGGGTGCTCAATAGACCAATAGCAACAATAATTATTTTGTACTAACTTTGTTTTATTTTTTTTATAGTTTTTTTACTACCGACTTCGGTTTCAAATCAAATAAGTGAAATTATATTTTAAGAATAAGAAGGTTATCTATTGCAGGGACGGCGCTAGGGGCGGGCAAGCCGGGTCCCTGGCCGCGACGGCAACAGGTGGCAAATGGGATGTAAAATTAATTAGTTTATGAAGAATACTAATAAATTACGATTCATTTGAAAAATAGGTTTTACGAACTTTTAAGTATAGGTCACTTCACTATAAGTATAGGTCACTTCACTATAAGTATAGTATAGCTCACTTCAAAAATCCTAAAGATTTTGAGAACAACATAAGTAGGTTGAGGTATGTAGTTTTCAAATAAAAACGTACCATTTACATGTATACAAAGTACTATATGATTCACTTCATAATATAAGAATAAGTCTAGTAAGATTTTTAAATAAGTTCATCAATAATAAACGTGTGGTACCTGAAATGTCCTTTAAACTACATAATAAAACATGTCCTGGGTTTAGTGAATACATATTTCTAGATGTTCTTCTAGCAATCAATAGATGAATATTTCCAACAAATTAAGTCATTCACATGATAAATATTATATTTATGACAAAAGCACGAGAAATAAACTTACAATTAACACTAAATGAAACTCAAAAACACTATTACAATGAGAATATTATCTAAAAACAGTTAAAAAATCACAAATACAAAATCGCCCAAAACAAACACATGTAAATAAACAAACATCCTACTTATAGGTGACAAATGACAGGCGCGCGAAAATTAATTTGAATCGCGAATACCACTAAACCGAATGTGATATTTTAGATGTCATTCGATGCAGAATTCATTCCTCTTTATTATTGAATGAAATTACATTTTCCGTCCGCCGCACTGTTTTCCAGGTACAAACAAAAAACTGAAAACAGTGCAAAAATTTGGTGATTTTTTAGCTACCAAAAGTTATGCTCACCTCCTGGGATGATGCAAAATCAGATTACA